AAGGAGATTCCCCACCCGTCCTCTCAGTGCTTGCAAATAAGAAAGCCCTTGTGAGGACATTATAAGAAGGTGTCCATCTGCAAGCCAGGAAGAGACACTTCACCAGGAATAAAATCATCTGGTACCTTGATCTTGGACTTTCTAGCTTCTGGAAGTGTGAGAAATCTGTTTTTAAAGCCACCCAGCCTATGGTATTTTGTTCTGGGAGACTGAGAAGATTAATGTAATAGCCTCCTGGAGATTTGTGTAAACCAGCCCCATTTCAAATTACAAAATCAAAATTTCCGGGGGCTAAACACAAGCAATTTGATGATTAAGGAAACTTCAAGATAATTTTAAACACAAGTTTGAAAACCAATAGAAAATTTCTAAAAATTAGAGTAACAAAATAATTGATCGTCCAAACTGGCACACAGTGTAGAATGAAAGGAAGCATTGCTGTGGTTAAGCCAGGACAAGAAAATCTGAAAATTTCTTTTTTTCTTTTTCTTTTTTTTTAATTTTTTTTTTATTGCATTTTAGGTTTGGGGGTACATATGAAGAACACTGCAAGATTTTTGCATAGGTACACACATGACAGTGTGGTTTGCTGCCTTCCTTCCTGTCACCTGTATCTGTCATTTCTCCCCATGCTATCTCTTCCCACCTTCCCCACCTCCCTGTCACTCCCCCATTTCCCCCCAACAGACCCCAGTGTGTAGTGCTCCCCTCCCTGTGTCCATTTGTTCTCATTGTTCAACACTCACCTATGAGTGAGAACATGCAGTATTTGATTTTCTGATCTTGTGTCAGTTTGCTGAGAATGATGGTTTCCAGGTTCATCCATGTCCCTACAAAGGATGCAAACTCATCGTTTTTGATGGCTGTGTAATATTCCATGGTGTATATGTACCACATTTTCCCTATCCAGTCTATCATCAATGGGCATTTGGGCTGGTTCCAGGTCTTTACTATTGTAAACAGTGCTGCAGTGAACATTCGTGTGCACTGTGTCCTTATGATAGAATGATTTATAATCCTTTGGATATATACCCAGTAATGGCATTGCTGGGTCAAATGGGATTTCTATTTTTAGGTTATTGAGGAATCGCCATGAAACTTTCTTAAGAAAACCATTATATAAGATCATTTTGCCTGCATAGCTTCATATTTAACCCATTTTTTATTTTAAAAAATTATTCTACTTTATGTTTTCTCTATGTTCAAATGTAGCTAGCTTCCTGCATAAAATTTTGGTGGGGAGGAATGAATGTATGTATCTGTGTGGTGAGAGTGTGTGCATGTGTTTACTCATAATATATATTTTATTTTGGAAAAAAAAAAAAGCCAGGTGGGAGTGTAAATTAGTTCAACCATTGTGGAAGACAGTGTGGTGATTCCTCAAGGACCCATAAGTAGAAATTCCATTTGGCCCAGCAATCCCATTACTGGGTATATATCCAAAGGATTAGAAATCGTTCTACTATAAGGACACATGCACACGAATGTTCATTGCATCACAGTTTACAATAGCAAAGAACTGGAACCAACCCAAATGCCCATTTATGATAGAATGGACAGGGAAAAATGTGGCACGTGTACCCCATGGAATATTATGCAGCCATCAAAAACGATGAGTTCATGTCATTTGTCAGGACATGGACGAACCTGGAAATCATCATTCTCAGCAAACTGACACAGGAACAGAAAATCAAACACTGCATGTTCTCACTCATAGGTGGGTGGTGAACAATGAGAACACATGGACAGAGGGAGGGGAGCATCACACACTGGGGTCTGTTTGGGGGGAAATAGGGGAGGAACAGCGTGGGGTGGGAATTGGGGAGAGAGAGCATGGGGAGAAATGCCAGATATAGGTAAAGGGGAGGAAGGAGCAAATCATGCTGCCATGTGTGTACCTATGCAACAATCCTGCATGTTCTTCACATGTACCTCAGAACCTAAAATGCAAGAAAAAAAGCCAGATATTATGCTACACATTGAGAATGGAAGATAAGCTGTGAATTGCTCTTGAATTTAATTTTTATAACAGTATTGATAAGGTTTAAATGTTTACCATTTTCCCCTAACTTATTTCAACGTTGTTCAGAATTTCAGATGAATTCATTATATGATCCAGAAACCACACTCATTTGTGTTTACCCAAAGGAGTTGAAAATTTATATTTATACAAAAACCCATATGTAGATTGTTTATGCAGTTTTCTTTATGATGGCTGAAACTAGGAAGCAAGTAGATGCCCCTCAGTAAGTGAGTGAATAAGTAAACTATGATGCATCCAGACAATGGAATATTAGTCAGAGTTAAAAAGAAATGAGCTACCAAGTTGGGAAAAAACATAAAGAAACCTTAAATGCATATGACTAAGTAAAAGAAACCAATCTGAAAGGCTAACTGTATCGTTCCAAATGCCTGACATTTTGGAATAGGCAAAAATATGGAGACAGTAAAAAGATTAGAGATTTGTGATTGCCAGGGGCTGGGGGAGGAGAGGAATAAATGTCCAAGAGAGCCAATTTTTAGAGCAGTAAAACTATTATTTTGATACTATGAAGTAGTTTAATGTCATCATATAGTTGTCAAGTATGAACCCTATTGTAAAATCTGGACTTTGGATAGTAATGATGTGTCAATGTAGGCTCATCAATAGTAGCAAATGTACCATTCTGGTTTGCAATCTTGTTCCTGGGAAGGCTTTGTGCATGGAGGAGGCAAAGGATATATGGGAATTCTTTGTACTTTCTGCTCAATTTTGCTGGGAATTGACCTAAAACTGCTCTAAATATAGTTTATTTAAAAGGAAAAATAAATTACTGTATTTCAGTTGTACTTTAAGTGATCCCAGTAAATGCATCTGGGCTCCATGTTAGAAGGTGATTATCTTTTACCGAAATCATGTTGCTATGGCGATTTGACTGAAACGCTTTCTGATTATCTGTATGTCTCCAGGAGGGGTCATAGCTAAGCACATGCAACTGGGCTATCCTCAAGAGTGTTGAGATTTTAACTTAAACCTGAGACAATCGTTTCAGGGAAGTATGTGTCAGTTCTGAATATGGTCTTTTCTTTCCATGAGCAAATTTGGCTGGCAAGTTTCCTCCCATTTCATCCTGGAAGTGGCTGTCCTACAAAAGAAGGGAAATAAAGGCACCGTAATGAAATTATTGAAGTCCATACCATAAAACAGAAAATTTTGTTGTTTTATCTTCTCTGGACCTCTTTAATTAATAACATTCATATTGTATAAAAGAGATATGTGTAATTCACTTCATAATACTTAGTTTTACCTTTACATATCTATTTTGCAAAACTCACTAATGCTTTTATTGTAAAACTTTATCTTTGATAATAATCTTATATTTCTCCCCACCAAAAACAAGTCCCATATATGATTAATTCTCCTTAGGAAAGACATTTTTAGTGTTTTTTTTAAGTAGTAGAACATATAAATTTCTTTCACAAAACAATTTCATAAATTATTTGCTTGTTCATTTCTGTATCAGTTAGATTCCTACTAATGTAATTCTCATATGATAAAACACTGTTTTTTTAAATAAGGGTGCTTGAGGCTTTTTATATGCATGAGTTAGATGAATCATTTATTATCACACTATTATAATTTATTTTGATAGGAATAATTTTCATTCCTATTTAGCTGCAGGAAAGTTTTTCTGATTCCTTCAATTATATGTTCACAATATGTGAAAGTAATGGGATCTTCTTTTCTGATACCTGAGGCTCTCCTCTCAAAGTCATTAGTACCTAACTAAACAATTCAGTAAAAAAAGAAAATAGTGGTTTACTTTTTTATATTCAAAATGAGTGACACAACAAGTGATTGAATACTCCTTTCTGTTTTTAAAGGCTATTTTTAATGTAAATATATAATCCCTTTCTTCATCATAAATTAAGATAATGTCAGTAAAAGTATTTGGTAAAATCTGTAAGTAAGAGTTATAGTTGACAACTTCTTAAGAATTATACTGTAACTAATCAAGTATGAGTTTGATTAAAAGGCATTGGTGTATTTGTTAAAGATGACATGATTCAAATATTTTTAATGAAAATAAGTTTGTTAAATAATGACTTATGTTCAAAAGTATCAAATAGGTTTATATTTTATGATTATATGCATATATAGATGGACACATAAATATATATGTACACATAAATATATATATTTATATGCATGTTTATGATCTATCTCATGGACATGAGAGCAATATTCTATGTCATGGCATAGTTAATAGCCCTGAGTAAATGTTATCCTCCAGAAAATGTTTTTGGTTTGTAAAATGTAAGACTCTATTAACAGATCTATTTAATTTAGGTGTGTAGGGGTAGGTGTTTATGTATGTGTAATCACAAACGGGGATTTAATACTTTTCATTTCTTTATTCGGTCCAAGTGTTCATCATGCAAAAGTGGGTTAAACATCCCTTTTTGCACTAAGATAAAAATGTGACTTTTACATACGATTTACAGAATAAATCTTATCGTTTTCTTTATTTTGCCTAAATACTTAGATCTAGTTCTTCTTAAAGTTGTTTCTAACAAAAGTAGTGAGTTTCTTAGTCTTTGATACATGTTAATATGGCTCCTACTTATAATCTCTGTTCAAGTGTCCAAAGTCTTCAAATGTTCCCATCATTAAACATTGATAACTCTGCCGGGAAGTGATGTAAATTGTTCTGTAAAGGGGAAAATTAACCTCTGCTTAAATCAATATGACCATCTTAGCTGACACTTCTGAGGAGCTCAAGTTGTGAAATGTTCAGCACACTAGCAGTAGGAATAGGGTGGCAGGACTGTCCTTGAGGGATCATGTACTTTAAGGAATGCAGAGAGGTAGGCATCTCAGTAAGGTATGGTTTTTCTCAAATTGTGTGGTTTTATCTCAAAAAATATGCTATTTTCAAAGACATTTCTTAAAACGTGTGTGTTTGTTATACTTGTTTATTATATAACTCATACTGTTTATTAAAACATATGTATTACAGGAGTTATTAGAACAGCCTTACATAACATGGACAGAGAAGCCAGAGAACATTACTCCGTGGTTATTCAAGCCAAAGACATGGCTGGGCAAGTTGGAGGGCTTTCGGGTTCTACAACAGTCAACATCACCTTAACCGATGTCAACGACAACCCACCACGGTTTCCTCAAAGTATGTATTTGTTTTCCATGACTTGAATTTATCATTATCTTTTTATGTAAAGCAAAATGAAATACTTGAACAATGTTATGTTGCTGTTTTAATGTTTTTTAAGTGGAATTGTTCCGATTTTGTGCTATAGGGTCACCTTTCTTTATGTAAGATCAATTAAATCACTCTGCCTATTGTCTTCTGAACCTACGAGATAATTGGGACCATGTTAAGAATGGGAGTTTCATTTAGCATCAAGTTAAATATTAAAAATGATGTGGTAGTACTAAAAAATGGCATCTTCCCTTTGACAAAGTAGTTGTGTATTCCTAAGGTATTCATGGAGATGCTGAAAATGTATTTTGATGCTAATATTCTTCTAATGCAGCATCATTCCATAAATACCTTCTGTTACTGAAATAAAAAAAGAAATTCTTCATGTTATGAATGAATGCTCTATATAGACACATGGATTCAATCACACACACACACACACACACACACACACACACACACGCATCATCCAAAACCAAGTTGCAGCTAATATGATAAGATGGGATCTCAGTAAAATATAAGACTTGAAAACAGAAAGCACAATTCAGTAGGCAATTTGCAGAGAGACGAGTCATATGAATCCTGTGGGTTTGGAGGAAGATGGTATTTATGACATGTTCTGAATGTAAATGATGTAATATATTTGAGTATTTTAAAAATGGAAGATACTATAGATAACACTTTCTAGGATAGTCACTAATAATCAAAAATATCCTTCAAGGGAGTTGGCTCTTATGTTCATTTTACAAATTATGTTTAAAATCTGCCATAAATTAAATGCTTTGGTATGTCATAAAGGCTCTTCTCAAGTCAGCATGAAATGCCTTTCTCAGCTTTATCTCTTGTCTCTTATTAGCATTTGCTTGATACCTCAGGCCTAGGTACAATGGAATACTGCCTCCTCCTAACATATGATAACACTTTGTACATCCTTACTTCAACTAGAATTTTTCTTTATCAACAGCCCTTTGTTAAAATCCCTGTTACAAGTTTCTCTGAAATTCCTGTCACAGAATTCGAAGAGACTCCCTCGTTTTTGCATCTTGCACAGTACTTTTGCATGCCTGTTCATGTTTTACTAATTTCTGCAGGTACAAAGATCTCCTACGACTTATGAGATCCTCTAAGTAGGAAGACATTTGAGTTAGTTTTTGTAAACGTAGGTGTTCAGCCCAGTGAGTACCCAGCATTTGATAAATGATTATTCGTGAGTAAATCAGTTGAATTTAAATAGTATGTAAAACTACTATTATTAACAGTATTATTAAATACATGCAAATCATAGTCAATAGTTAAATAAATCAAAATCTTGATGCCGAAGATAAGATAATGTTACCTGGTACATTCACATGGCCTTTGCGCTATGAAAAAAGTATAGATCATAGATAAGTCTATATTTTATTAAGCCATAAAATATAATTAAATTTTAAAACATTTTACAGATTATGAGGAACCTTTCTATCAATGTTATCATTTAGATCAAACAATATGCATATACACATATAACACCATGAGGGAAATGTTATTACTTCGTAGATTGGTACAATTGAAGATTAAAAAAAGAGAATGAGTGATAATTCAGACTCAACAGAATATACACTTAATTATATTTAGGATACCAACTTGCCTATCCTGTTTTCAAATAGATTCTACCACCACTATTTTTAAAATGTACATTCATATTGTAGCCCTAATAGAAAACTCAGGTTGTACATCATAGGGTTCAGTAAATGCTTGTTTGTAGTACATTTACCATCTCCCATTCTCTCTTTTTCTCCATGTCTCCCTAAAATAAATAATAAATTTATAGATTTATTAAGATTGACTTTAGATATTTACAGAAAATTTTAATTGTGATGAATATAAGGAAATTATTCGTATGGATGAATATGGATATATAATCTATTGACATTTGTTCCTAATTTTATTATTTTGATAAGTAATAGTGTTATTGTTGAAGCATCAACGTACAATGAAAATAATCTCTTTACCTGACAAACAGAGCAAATATATACCCTCTGAGTTAACTCATTGTGTCTAATAAATTCTATCTTTCTTCAGTCAGTAACATTCTGGCATAATGATTGACAGATGTAAATCCTGCTGCATTTCAGGGTGTTCTTACAGTTTTGAAAAAGCTGCAGTTCACATTCAGAACCTTACACATTGGCTTGCTCAAAAGATACTTCATTTTACACTCCAATTCAACAAAACATAACGCTGCTTTTGCAACAGTTTGGTGTCACCATGACAAAAGTAACTTGCAGTAAAGTGTTATTTAATTTATCCATAAATTGCGGCATATTAAACAGTTAGGGGAAGTTTTGTAAACTGCTTGGAAAAATAAAATGATATAAGGACTTAAATTCACAAAATACTTGTACAAGTGTAAACACAACAAATTCTAGACCGTTCATATCCTGTCCTCAAATGGATCCAGTAATTGAATTGTTTCTCTTAATGTGAGGTTTTTACAGTCGCACTTACTATTTCTTTCTCTCTTCACCTCAGAGAGTTGTACTTCTTACAACTGACACTAGTATAAACATCTCCCACTGAAAATATTGCAAAAATATTCTCTCAAAGTGTTTTTTCCTCCATGGTTAATCTACCATGATTGAGAAAGTGTGTAGGCTAGTTATACTGCATGGTAATTAGTTATCATTTTAGCTTCAAGTAAATAGGCTTTGAGTAAGTGTTTGAGTGGCAGCAAATTAGAGCTAACAATTTGCTTTACAATGTCTCTACTCTTGAGAGTTACAAACTCAGTGGCCTAGGATACAGGCAAACAAATGTCTTGGAGGAAACAGACCACTTGTCAGTATCAGGAATGTGAAGGAGGAGAATAGAGACTGGATAATGCATGCCCAACTATAAGGGTAGCCACTGTTTAATTCAAATGGATACCTACCTTTGGGCTACAAGGTGTTTGAAAAAGAGCCACTTAAAAAACAAAACAAAAAGACTCTTAGTGAAAGAAAATAAATTAGCCTATCTATGGCTTGAAATTCTACTCAAAGTACACAACTGATGTGCACTTCTCCTTCTAGAGAAAATCATCTATGTAAGTATATACAATTCTCTAGTATTAGTCCTTTTATTAAAGGTGTAACTTATTTTATTCTGCCATTTTCCCTTCTGGTCTTTAAAAACTGTGTTCTGTGTTATGGTTGTTGCATAACTTACTCTTGGATAGATAAAATGTTACTGACATTTGCTATTCTGCACAAAGCATATGCCTGTAAAATTCAATACCTTACATGAAAGTTTACAAAACAAACCTTCTCTGTCCTAAACGGAAGGAATTATATTGTTGTATTCAGAATAGATCTTGTAAGGTAAATAATCTAGTAACAGAAAGAAGGCATACCACATGACAAATAATCACAATGAGTCAACCTTTAGGGCTTGATCCTCCAATATTACATTGCACCAACTGCAGTCACAAGTGAGCTTAAGTTTTTGGCAACTTGCTATCATTCTCTGGAATTTAAGTGATAGCAAATTGCCAAGCATGTAAACTCATTTGTTACTGCAGCTGCTTTGGTGCAATGTAATATTGGAGGATCAAGCCCTAAAAGTTCGATAGATGGCAGTATTTCCCATAAAGTTAGTAAACATCACAAACCACAACTGGTTTGGATAATTTCTAATGTTAGTGAAAAATAAAATTTTGCTGAAGACATTGACATTGATGTGATTGTTTTTAGGGGGATAGCTTTTTGTATTAGTTTCAGTGATATGAGTATAAATGTAAATTTATATAATATTTTCAGCGTTGATACTTTGTTTGAAACAAATAAAAAGAAATAAAAAAAAGAAAAAAAGAAAGAAAGAAAAAGAAAGTTTCTCCCTTGACCCATCAAAATGTGCAGGATTTTTAAAAAATTATCAAATAATTAGGGTTTTTCTAGTGTCTTTTGAAAATGATATCTAGTTATTTTATTATGGTTGCAGGCATATATTTTAAAACATTTTGAGCATGTCTTTAAAATGCCAGTATGTACTTGATTTTGATAACTGTTCCTAATTATTCTAAAATAAGGTAAATTCTGCAGCTGCATGGTTAGTGGTCTATATATGTAAATTCTGCAGCTGCATGGTTAGTGGTCTACATATGTAAATTTCATTCAAGTTTATTCCTTGTACCACTCCAATTTTCTATATCCTTATGGAATTTTTGCTTGTCTGTTATTGAAGGAGATGTTAGCCTTCCAAGATGATACTGGATGTTTCCATTTCTCTTTTTTTCCCTCTGTTTAATTTTTCTTAGATGCAGTTTTAAACCATGTTACTGGATGCACACAGATTGAAGGCTTTGATAACTTTCTCTAGGTTAAAATTGTTTTATTGTGACATATATCTCTCTAGTTCTAATAATGCTGCATACCTTAAAGACTAATTTGTTCCATATAGCTATTCCAGAGTTTCATTTATTTATTTATCTTCATTTCTTTTGGTTATGGTTTGCCTGGTATTCCATTTTCTAAAATTTTACTTTCAAACTTTATTGTCCTTAATTTTTTATTCTTAATTTGTAAATGTTTCTTGTGTACACTTAGCTAATCTTTTTGTTGTTTAGTTTAAAATGACGTCATACTTTCTCTTGCTTATTTTGATTTACTACATTTATAATTACCTTAATTACTGATATAGTTTGTTTTAGGTATAATCATTTGCTATTTGTCTAAACTTTTTCTTCTTTTTTTCTCCTCATATTCTCTGAATTATTTACTTAATTTCATTCATTTTGATCTCCATTCACTTTTTTTTTTTTTAAGAAAAAGAATAAAGAAGAGGAAGAAAGAGAAAGAGGAAGAGGGAGAGAGGATGGGGGTATTGCTTTATTGCCCGGGATAGAATGCAGTCTAAATATGGGTATGCCTATAATTGTCCTTAATAATGGAGACATAAAAGAAAATGAGGGAAGAGAATAACAAACAAGGAGCCAACCAACATTTTGTTTA